TGTCTCCATATTCCACCCCAACCCATGGTTTGGTCTCCCCTTTTAACCGGGGTCTTCTCCCCCCAACCCCACCCCCAAGCAGCACACACATACACACACACACACACACACACTATTAAGATATTGAAACAAATATTTTGCAGTGGAACCACTGAACATTCAAAATGCAACCCAATGACTAAAGATCGTTGTGCCACTAGTAAGGCTAAAATGTCAGGAAGGAGTGTCCAGACCAAAGTCAGACCCGCGTCTGGCCTGCTTATTTCATACATCTACTATCTGAACTGACTGTATGTCATAGTTTCTGTCTGTCAGTACTCTTACAATAATAATTTCTTTGATCTCACATTGCCTTGCATTTGCTCTTTCGTGAAAACGTTATGCTTTCATTCAAATGTTGCCATAAAGAGGTTTTCGCCTTGGAAATCATCAATAAGTTACTTGAAAATGAAGCTAATTTTTCCTCAGAAGTTGTGAACCCCCACCACCTTTTTAGAAATTTTGAAGATCGATCCTGGTGATGCGTAGAACGCCTTCATTTCTTTCTAATGAATCAACTGTTTCTTAGACTGTTGCACATGCAATGCATATCCGTGAATATGTATTTAGCTGTGCCCTTTGTTTTCTTTATTCCTCGAGGAAACAGAAATAGTTATTGGTCTTTGGTCAGTAATTGTCAGATTTTGTAGTTGAGTCAACTCCTAAGTCAACTCCTATGGTATACAGTACTGTTACGGTTTTTCCTTATATTGCTTGTTGAAGAAATGAGTTCCATTCCTGTGTGGGGAAACGTTTGTTGTTGTTATCTGCTGGGATGTTGTATCCTACTTGTTGTGGGCTGGCTCGGACATTCATGGTCGAAATAGCCTGTCTCCCATATGATTTAAATTGTGTTGATTAGCGTTTAAAATTTGTACAATTGCTCGTTGTTATTCATCACTTTATGTTCATGTTTTAGTTGTGATCAGCAATGGCTGCTGTTCAAGTGTTGTTGTAATTTTTGTTTCATCGTGTTTCAAATATTATAATTCATGCATATTACTTCCCTTGTATTTTGATGGCTATTAGTTGAGGTTGTTTGCTGGGCCGTCTCTTTTGGTTGTTTTCAACTCCCCTTTTTCTCTTTTGTCTTTTCAGGGTTTTGTCAATTCAGGGTACAGTGTAAACGGCATGGCACCGGTAAGTGACGTATGTCTTGTGTGAAGAGATCACCACCCCCTTGCTGCTTGCACACCACTTGTATAACTTGCTTGACTTTGCAGGGACTTCCATGTGTTTTCTCTTGTAGTTCTACCACCTTACAATTACAAAGTTCTCTTTGACATTTTTTACTAAGACCATGAGATCAGAAAGCAAGTGCTCTATTTGCTTTATCAAGGTCGTAAGAATATTTGAAGGTGTTGTCAAGATATTGCATTTGGAGAAGCTTGAAGTGTTGTAAGACTTTAAAAATTTGACGTCAAATTTCCCGAAAACTAGGTATTGAGCAGATATAACTTTTAAATTCTGAGGTAGCGAATTTGTCGTCATTGATCCACACATTAGTTGGATTCTCTTAATTTTGTTAAATATTTATAAGAGATAAGATAAGATAAGATAGTACTTTATTATCCCAGAGGGAAATTTTCCTTGGCTGTACAGGACCGTAAAAACACATGCAGGTATGCACAAAAAAAAAAAAAAGAAGATATATATATATATATAAGTCTTTGCTCTTATATGAGCATTGTTTATAAAAGTACAAAATAACAACGCATGTTCTGGAAGTGAAAGTTACATTGGTGTTGCAGCAAGGTGTGAGTGTTTACTTCTTATGTGTTTTTGTTCTGGAATGTTCTCTACTCTGTGGTATAATCTATTAGAAACCAGGGTTTCTGTTTGATTATTCTTGACAAACCCTTGACACGTTGACAGAGGTACCTGCAGCCTGTTTGAATGAGAGGTGGGAAGTGATGGGGGAAAGAGAGACAGACAGGCGGACAGAATGAGAAAGAGGGAGAGGGGGGGGGGGGGGGA